GGGCTTTTGAACTGCTCTTAGTCTGACCCGTCACCCAGGACCTGTTTGCCTTGGGAGACCCTACCAGGGACATATAGCCCCCGACAACATAGCTCCTAGGATCACTCGGGTACTCAAACCCCTCCACCACAATAAGGTGGCGGTTCAAGGAGGGGATAAATCCCTTCTACAAAATGGAGACGTGGCACTGCAATGTTGTGACTGTGCTAAATTCTATGCCTCCAGAAATGTACCAAACTAGCAAGAAAGTGAAATAGAGAGCACTTCAAGGCTTGAATGTAATCTCCAGTGCTGCAGTTTGTGTTTTTTTCTCTCCTCTCTGTTCCTCGTCCCTTTTCTCCTCATTTATCCCTAGTTTTTATTTCATCTTGCTTCTTTGATTTACTCTCTTTTTCACTCAGCAGTGCCCTTCATGAGGGTCATTTCCAACTTGTCTCCACAGTCCCTTACTGTAGCTCTCATTTCATGTGTGTGCAGTATGTTTAACCACTGTATGCGGATCCTCTCCATGCTCTTCTCTCTTTCAGATTATCAGTTTATTAAATGTCTTCACACCACAGAAATCATTAGAGGAATTTCAGGATGTGTGAGTACTAAACCTTTCTTTGCATAATTACGTTTTCAAGAAAATTATTAATTTAGCTCATGTAACTTACAAAGAAAGATTGCTCTCATTTAATCTGATATATCATATGACTGAGAAAAAAGGGGACTGATTTTATTATACATTATGTACTCATTTGTCCCCCACACCTGCAGTTGTGAGAACACAACTGCTGGAGTGCAGTCAGTTAAAGTACCGTGCGTGTAATCTGAGGCTGCTGGAGGTATCCTGTTCTTATACTGAATGATGTATGAGACTGTGTTCACTTTTAGATTAATCTAGAGGTAAAAGGTGTGTGTTTTTGTAGCCAGAAATCAAAGAAATCAAAGAAATCAAAGAAATCATCATGCCCCAAATAACTCATCAATGACTTAATTGATAAGCCTGTTAACCACTGACAAATCAATAAAATCTTTTCTCAGGTACCTAGTGATGGAGCTGATGGATGCCAACTTGTGCCAGGTGATTCAGATGGAGCTTGATCATGAGAGAATGTCCTACCTGCTCTACCAGATGCTGTGTGGGATCAAACACCTGCACTCAGCCGGCATTATTCACAGGGTAGGAAAGCAAGGCGACACACATTATAGATACCAGCTTTCATCAAACTCGAGTTGACAGTTGTAGGTGAAAGGTTATCCAATCAGAATCGGTGTCCCGCCCCCAAGCCCCCATTTCTATGTGTTGCTTGGTGCAAGAACATATCTGCACTGAGCTGAGCACAGCACAAGGTTGCATGTGTCGCCCCTGCATGCTGCACCAATGTTAAATAACTAACTTATTTACTTTGTAATGTTTTGAATATTGTTTGTGAAAGTTTGACCATGTTACTGTTCCATTTTGTAAGATGCAAATCTCTAAGTTTTACTTTCCTGCCTGAGTATAGTCTCAGTTCCTTCTTATGTCAACTCTATGTTGACTGCTGCACATGCTGCTCCCATGTAGCATACATTCTCTATTATATTCTTATATATTTTTATTATAGTGCTGCTTAAAGTGCCATAGATTTTGTGTTACTTATTTATCTACTTTATATTTCATTTATATTTTGTAGCATTCATGTGGACGGCAAAGTAAGAATTTCATTGTACAGGGAAACACATTTCCTAACTGTGCATATGACACATAAACACTTTGACCGTTTTTCCTAGAGTTGACATAAGAAGGAACTGAGACTATACTCAGGCAGGAAAGTAAAACTTAGAGATTTGCATCTTACAAAATGGAACAGTAACATGGTCAAACTTTCACAAACAATATTCAAAACATTACAAAGTAAATAAGTTAGTTATTTAACATTGGTGCAGCATGCAGGGGCGACACATGCAACCTTGTGCTGTGCTCAGCTCAGTGCAGATATGTTCTTGCACCAAGCAACACATAGAAATGGGGGCTTGGGGGCGGGACACCAATTCTGATTGGATAACCTTTCACCTACAACTGTCAACTCGAGTTTGATGAAAGCTGGTATCTATAATGGTGTTGGTAAATGGTCTTATATTTGTATAGCGCCTTTCTATGCTTTACAGCACACTCAAGGCGCTTTCACACTATTTGGCCATTCACCCATTCACACTCCCAAACACTCACACATTCACCCACCGGTGACATCACCGGGAGCAACTGGGGGTACAGTGCCTTGCTCAAGGACACTGACTGGACAAGCCGGTAATCGAACCGCTAATCCGCAGGTTAGGAAACGACCCGCTCTACCTCCTGAGCCACAGCCACCCCATAATGTGTGTAAGGTGCCTCGGTTTTCATGTCTATCTCCTAAATATGGTTTGGATTCTATGTTTCAGTATCCATTTGTAGTCTATAACATATCTGGGCAACAACAACTGGCAGTGTTCACCATGTGGGAAGTCAGTGAGGGATCAGGTCCTTGTCACCGCACATCAAACCTGACTAGTTGGCCAGGACACCTGTATGAAGACGAATGAGATCTAGGAGATAAAACGTGTGTTACACCTTCCCATTGAAGCTTCTTAAGCAGGTTAATTGGACGGTCAACTGTGGGAGTCACTGTAGAGACATTACAGCGCATGGGGAATTTTAGACTGGGAAACAAAGTGTAGTCATTAAATAATAGGAACAGCATGAATGACAAATATTAAACCAAATAAATTTGTAATTATACCCTTGAAAAAATGAAGCCAATTATTAAATATATATGCAAATATATTTCCAAAGGTGTCAAACTATTCCTTTAAATGTTAGTCATCACAGTCTGAGGTATCAAAATGCCTTATATCTTATATCTGCCAGTCCTCTCTGAGCAACATTAATGGACATAATTAACATAATTAAAATACCAGAAAAAGAGGCTGTCCATTGAAACATGGCATATATATAATATATATATACAATATAAATTACCTATAGTAAATGTAGCATGCAGTTTTTTATGTCAGTCTTTTCTTGTCTGTGTTTTGTTTCTAGGACCTCAAACCAAGCAATATAGTGGTGAAGTCAGATTGCACCCTAAAGATTCTGGACTTCGGTCTTGCCAGGACCGCAGGCACAAGCTTCATGATGACCCCCTATGTGGTGACTAGATACTACAGAGCCCCAGAGGTTATCCTTGGCATGGGGTACAAAGAAAATGGTGAGAATTAACTGAAGAAATATTGTATACTTTTTATATAATTTACCACTAAATGACTGCAGTTTATTGGAACAATTTTTAGTTGTCCTATAAGCACACTCAATTATACAGTATTCTTGTAGTGAGCCAGCACACCAATTTGTACCTGTAGTAATCAAACTTTTGGTACAGTGGGTTATAAAATCATTTTAAGAAATGAAAATTAAAGTTTTCAAACATTAACTAAAAAAAACTTGCAAACTAGTCTGGTTGTGTTGCACTTTGCAAATGAAGTGATGTGAACTGAAGTGTTGGAAGTATGAGTCACAGATTAACAGCCCCCAGAACATCAGACTTGATTGACTGGCAGGCTAAGACTATGACTCATTAACCATATTCCTCCCATGGATGGAAGCATATAGACTCCAAGGCTTTGAATTTCCTGCCACTAGTTAATCCTTCTAAGGCTCTGCTTTTCTCTTTTCTGTATTTCTTTTGTAATTGACCTCTATGTAACATGCCTCTCATTCTCCTCCACTGAATCTAATCACTGTTGCTTCTCCCAGAAAGCTTGATGTGTGTGAAACTAACCCTTGCTTTCCTCTCTTTTCTTTTGCTCCCTGTTCATCTCACCCTCACCTCTGTGCCTGCAGTGGATATATGGTCAGTGGGGTGCATCATGGGAGAAATGGTGCGCCACAAAATCCTTTTCCCTGGCCGGGACTGTATCCTTGTTAACACACAGTATGTGCCTTTCTCACAGTATTTTGGCCAGGTATCGCTTGGTTCCATCATTTTACCCATTCTAGTTAGACTTGATTCGAAGGCTATTCTCCACTTGGCCCGATGTTACCAGTGTGTTCCTGAGGTGAACTAAACCACATTTACATCTGGCCAGCTTTGTAAGACAAAAGAAGATCAATACTAGTTGATCTTCTTTTAAAACCTTTGATATAACTTGCAATCACATCATAAAATAAGCATCATAAATCCTTGTTTTCTAGTTAGTATGTCTGATTCTTCAGCTTTAATCAGTCTAATTTTTTGGAAAGAGCGTTCTATTTAGAGTGTTTCGTTTCTGGAGTGCTGTTTGGTGAGTTCTCCTGCAGTGAAGGGGGCGTAATTGCATCCCCAGATGACTTCTTCCTGTAGGCTAGGGTTCGATAAATAGTCCCCATGTTGAGTTTGTGCACATGTGTACAATACATCTTGCAATCTCAGGATTTCCACATGTGTGAGTCAGACATTTTCATTAGACATTCATTGAATAAAGTAATACATAATCAAAATATTCATTTTAAGCATCTGTAAATAGCAGTTTAGCTGAAGTGTGAGGCAAGTTCAAAGCTTAAAGATGTAGACTGTTAGCATGTTAGCATCTAATGAACGAAAACCACTGTAATGATGGGGAACTAATGACACTGGAAGGTATGAGAAGTAAGATATAAGTTTATACACAGATATGGCTAATTCCTTTGTGTCATGGACTTCAATTGTTGTCCAAATTCTACAAAAAACAAACAAACCAAAAAAACAAACAAAACATGAGTCACATTGTTGTAGTGGGTGGCATCTTTCATTATGATGGAGACGGGCACCATCCTTCTGCTGTACTGTAAATATGTTCCAGCTCTAAATTCCCAGCTGGAATTAGTCCACAACAAACACACTATTTATCCCCTTTGGAGTGATATTTCTTTAAAACTAAAGAGCCTAGGTCTAAAAAATTTATTTGCCTTTTTTTTTGAAAATGAGAGGATACATTTGTGCCACATTTTAGGAGATTTATATGTTCAGTAGAAACAAATGGGCTTGAAGTTGAGAGCTGCAGATACCGTTGTTGTTGGTCTTGGTTTTTTCATAGGATTTGTTGACAGTAACAAATTCCCCAGTCATATCTTTTGAAATGATTATTTTAATTTGAATAGAGGCAGATAAACTGTGAGAAACAGCTGCTTGTGGCTAATGCTCTGATCTTCCTGAACATACAGTCCTTGACAGATTAACACTTTCATATTCTGTCCCTGCTCTCACAACAACCTGAAGTTCTTATTTTCTAACAATTCCTTTCTTTCTTACTATGGCTCAATGAAGGGTAGTCACACATACTTTTGTCTTATGTTGATAAATCATTTCTGGATTGGTACCCTAACCTGTTGCTAATCTTAATTTACTTAATAGAGTTTTTTTAGACCTGAGGTATGGACCTGGCTGAAGTTATCTGCCCCTTCCTGGGTGATTGTCAGATGATGATGCGGAATAGCAGTCTGTCTAAACAGGTCACAGCACAGAGAGCCTCAGGGCGACTGGGTGCTTGATGGCCTTTTAGTAAGGAAAGCGCTGTGTTAAATACAGTAAGTGGTGATGCTGATAGTGTGTTTATACATATGGCATCAGTATATACAGGTAATTACTGGTAAAATGCAGAGATGAGAGGTGGTATGTAATGCATATTGTCACATTGCAGTGGTTGTGGACTATTACAAAATCAAGATGAGTCAATGAATTTCACCTTTTATGGGAAAAGAAAAAAGATTTTGACAGAAAATACTCAAAATCTTTTGTATTATATAAATATTTAGTATTTAGCATGTGCTAAATAAATAATCAACACAGGGATACAATATTAGAACACCTATGTGTCAGTCATTTAGGATGTAGAAATGATAAGTGATACTTGATAGACGCTGGTAACACGAGTGTGTTGCTTGTGCATGTGCCGGTGTGCGTGCCTGTGACCCCAGTGGACATGTGGTCAGTCGGCTGCATCTTTGGAGAAGTGATAAGAGGGACAGTGCTGTTCCCTGGGATTGACCGTATCCTTCTGACCTCCTGCAGCTCCCTCAATACAAACCTGAGGTACATGATTCCCCAATTCATGACATGAGTAACTTGAAGCAAAGAGGAGAGTCATGTTTGTTGGCACTGACACAAAGAGGAAAAACACCTTGAGTTGTTCAAGTGAATTCCACAACTTGGTAAAGAGCCTTAACGAAGCCTCACTGAGCACTGGGTGGATCGTGACCAGTGTGCAATAGACACAAAAAAGGAGGAAGAAGTGTGTGTTGTTCCAGCAAAATGAAATAATGGGGATCTCCTGTCGCCCTGACAGCTAACTGCCTCAACTGGTACTTTGTGAGAGAACGGGGGAAGGGAGGGGGATGTGTGAAGAAATGTGTTGCCAGCACAGATGAAAAATCAGAAGCATATTTGTTCACACTGTCCACTGTTGACAGTGTACAGTATACATATAGTGTGTACATATAGCTGACAGTCAACTATATGTACATGCTATATGTCTTGTTAATCAAAAACTCATAATGTCATCAGGAGGTTCATCAACATGTCTTGGCATTTAAGTCCTGCTTTATAGAAAAGCCTGACAATGCCATGGAAATATATAATATATATAGGCATTTTAGGTATTTTGATTACATTTTAAGGTACATAAAGAGATTGTTTTAAATCTACCCCAGTTTCAGAAAGCCATCAAATGCTGCGCTTTGACTATAGGAACCTAACAAGCAGTATGCACCTTACTTCCTTAAACGATCACTAAGCATAACCTCCGGGGTTGACCCGGACTGCCCTGCTTTGTTTTTCCACTGTATTTTCTCTCTGCTGGTCTCTGTTTAGAGGAGGGAGGGGCTGCTCCTCCAGTCAGCTGTGTGTTTACACATGGTGCTTGTAATGCTAATGCTTCACAAACAATCACTGATAACTGCTCTGTGTGCAGGATAGGATTTCTTATTAACAAACATAAAGGAAAGTGTTCACATTTTGAAATAATTCCATAATTCTCCTTATGATATTTCTTTTTTAATTAACAGACTTCAACCTTTTGTCATTTCTCATGGATGTTTCTGGGATTGGAATGGACACAGCTCTTTTGAAAAGAGAAATACTTTAAGTAACTTGGTAATACACAGTACTTTGAATAAACACTGAGGCGTACATGATGCTGTATATTCCATGTGTGTTTCCCTTAATGATGCCTCCATACCAGACATTGACCAGTGGAACAAGGTGATTGAGCAGCTGGGCACACCCTCACCAGAGTTCATGAAGAAGCTTCAGCCCACAGTGAGGAACTATGTCGAGAATCGGCCAAAGTATGCAGGCCTCACCTTTCCCAAGCTTTTCCCTGACTGCCTTTTTCCTGCTTTTTTTTTTAGCTTAAAGGTGAGAAACCATTTTATCAGATTGCAGCGAGCATGTATATGAGACTTTATTGATCGATTAATTAAATTTAAAACATTTGCAGGTCTAAGCAGTACCCTATCTACTGTATTTTTTTGCAGAATGTTAACCAAAATATCAGGTCTCAACCTAGTATTGTTAAAAAGTGGGATACAGCACCACTCATACCACTCATACATCAAAGCTCTCATGAATCACTTTTGTAATCTGGCTGCTCACTGACAGCATTAAGGGAAATGCACCCAGGGAGAAATGAGAATGGGTTGATGTACTGCTGTTTTGCACGGTTTTTACTGTGACAGGTAGGAACTGAGTCAGATGTCCTTTGGGTCTTAATTATTTTGAACTGAGAGATCAGGAATAAAGTAAGGTAGAAACAGAGGAATCATTTTACACATTTACCATCCTTTCATTATTGATGTGTTGATGTTGAGGTAAATGCCAACAGTGCACCTGGCTCATCTATCTTTCTCTTTTTTCAGTTCAGTTTCTTCAGTCCTTTGATGCTGTAGAGCTATTTATGGTGAAGGTCAATGTGTGTAGCAGAGGGGTGGTATGAGGTTTAAGGGTTCTCAATTTCACATCGGTCCAGGAGAGCCTGAGGGTAGATTGACCAACTGAGTGTCTGCAAATGCAAATGACTTGATGGGACAAAGCAGAATCTTGAGTTTTAATAATGACATAAAAAGGAAGAGAGTATTACTCTGTAAAAGTGGTCTGTGATTGAGTTGCTTTGAAAGTCTGGTTTCCTTTCACAAGCTGTTGCTGTTTATTATTCTCTTTAATCCCTGTCATTTCTCTTTTCTCTCTGTTCTGCCCTTCCTGCCCTTTTGTGTTTCCCCCTGGCTATTGAGTAAATTGTCTTGCCTCACAATGTTTTTCTGCTTTTCTATTCAAACCACAGCTAGTCAAGCCAGAGACCTGTTGTCTAAGATGCTGATCATTGATCCTGCTAAACGGATATCAGTGGATGAGGCCTTACAGCACCCCTACATCAACGTGTGGTATGATCCAGCTGAGGTGGAGGCGGTGAGTAGGCCTTTGGCAGAGCGGCGTATTGATTACTATCCCAGTCCTCTTCGGCTGTTTTTGATTGGTCAGCACTGTTTACTGGCTCTCACTTTGTGTTTGCACTGTCTTACAAGAAATGATGATGATGACTCCCCTCATTTCTTATTTCAACAAAAGCAGCTATAGTAATTTACAACACAACTATCAAGGCTCTGTAACAGTGAAGCCATGCGGGCTGAGTGCATTTATGATTGTGCTTTAAATTTTTGGTTCACATCTCATTTTCATTTCTCTCTCATATTTTTCTTTTTTATATATGGCTTCTGGTGCTAAGTATATTTTAGCTGTAGTCAAATCTTTTGCTAGCACACTTTTTCTGTTGCCTACAGTAATGCATTGTTTTGTCTTCTAATAATGATGGTGTTTCTGGTTTATGTGGTGAAGTCTTCTTCTTCAGTGCCTCATTAGTATGAGGTGACAGTGAGGTTGGGAAAAAGCCATCTGCACTTCTACTTGCAGGAATACAGTAATGAGTACATGACCAGCCAATGAATATCAGTGTTACTGTTGCTGGTTAATAATATCATTTTACATACAGCAAATCTCCACTGTAGTTCCACTGGATACCTTTTAGAAGATTTTATGACTGTGTAATATCAGTGTTACTGTTGCTGGTTAATAGTATCATTTTACATACAGCAAACCTCCACTGTAGTTCCACTGGATACTTCTTAGAAGATTTTATGACTGTGCCCTTGTCTACATTGTTTGGTTGTTGACATTGGTGATGGTTTAATGATAATGTTGTTGTTGGAGTTGATGTGGTATGTATTTCACATGGCTGTAAATGACATTTCAACACATTTTCTGCTGTTTTCCTTTTCTCTAGTGTCATCTCATGCTCATGCAAATATCCATGGTAAATAACAACCACCCTAAATAAAAGAAATTGTATTTGTAACAGAGGGTAGAACAATGTGCACCAGTGATACTGTGTCATACTGGGATTAAGTGGCCTCATTCCAGTGTGTAGCAGCAGGTACAACAGTTTTTATGCATGTGTTTGTGCCAGATCCACAAGGCCGCACATAAACCATCTTTAGGATGTTAAATTGAGAAATGACTACAAAATGAATTTGGTAAATCCTTTTTTGTGTGGAAAACCTCTCACTCCTGTCCTGCTGTGGCTGCTGAATGCTGACCTGTAACTGTCCCTTATCTCACAGAGGTTTGAGGGTGGCCCTGTCAACTGCAGTGACAAAGGGGAGAATTATGGTGTCAGAGTCTGGGGCAGGATCGCTATGAATGCATATCTGGTTGCCAGACAGCATATTTGTGCCCTGTTAGTTGAAATGATATGGGAGGAGGACACACTTTAGCTGGGCAACCCTCCAGATTTGTTCTTATCTCACTGTCACTGTCATTGTGTGTATAGAGAACAAACTGTATTGATATAATTTAATTAAATAAATTACCATTATGTGTGATTAATAGTAAATAGAGTATTGGGTGTTTATTGTCTTACATTTACATAATTTCAACATAATCCACATGACGTGCCCGCTTTCTACACAAGACTCTTTGTTGCTACCTCAGTGGCTTTGTGTACATAGTGTCATGTATATGTCACGTGAAATTAATCTTGTCGACTGAGTCATTAGCTCAACTGTTACTAAAATAATTGTACTCTCTCTTTTAGCCTCCACCCCAGATTTACGACAAGCAGCTGGATGAAAGAGAACACTCAATTGATGAATGGAAAGGTAAGATAAATAATGCATGTTAACAGGAAATGTGTGATTTAGCAATATTAGACAGCATGTCAGAAAAAATAAAACATGTTTGTATCTATATTTTAAACCTCTGTGTTGTTTTACATTTATATTTTTTGTGTTACTTGCTTGTGTCCTATTATATTGTGTTTCCTTTGTGTTGGTTGACAACATTTTCCTCAAAACCAACTACTAAAAGGAAAATTAAAGTCTTTGTTTCTTTGTCCCTTACATATACTGAACTTATTTTATTTTTACCACTTTGTCATTTAACTTTGGTCCTTGCCAGAACTAATCTACAAAGAAGTGATGAATTTTGAGGAGAGAACGAAGAATGGCGTTGTGAAGGGACAACCTTCACCTTCAGGTACTCTCAGTGCATAACCCTAATCGATCTGTAAGTGAATTTACTATAACTTTATTGGATTTATCCTTTGTAAATAGAGAAATCCATTGTTTTGTTGATCATGTGTCTCTGTCTTTTGCAACTCAAGTTAAATGTTGTTTAGTTCAGTGGTGTCATTTTGTGCCAAGTGTATATGTGAAATGACAATGTAGGACAGCTAATTAAAAATGCTAATATTGCCTTTTAGTACAGAATATTTAATAGTAGATGGTGTGTGAATGGCTAAAGGTTTGGATCCTTTGGGGTCCATCGGTTTTCAGCTTTAGCAGACATTTTATACTGTCATTCTCTTTGAAAGACCTCCGCCTCCACAGTAAGTGCTGTTCCCATAGTTTGCCACAGAGAGGCGGTATGGAATTATGTTAACATCTTGACCAGACTACCCACACTCATGTCACTGGAGACATGAAAAATAGCTTGTTGCTTGATCTGAGAGACAGGCATTCTCCTTTTTGAAGAGTTGAAGAGCTGGCTAAACTCATGCCAAGTCCTGCAGAGACACAGGACTGTGAATGTGATTTTGAAATACACTGAAGTCTGAACATTTGATTTGATTTGATTTATTCTTTCAAGCATGTAAAGATAGTTGATATGTCAACACACATAATTTTACACATATCCAACAAATGCTAATCCAATATCAATTTGCTTATACCTAGTACATGCTTGAATGGAGTAGGAAGAAGTCAGACTTATCCAGTCCTACCCCATGACATCATCTTACCATCATTGGTTTGCAAGCAATAAATGATTCACTTCTATTCTCTTCTACACCACACAAGTAATATATTAAAGAATTATTACA